AATGGACACAGCATACACTCCACTTATTCAGGAAGCTATACTAAAACCCCTACACCTTTAGGACAAACCAAACATTTATTTAAACTTCAAATTATTTTGATTAAAACTAGAAGCTACACAATTGGCTGTAACACAGGCACATGTTCTCTCCCTTCTAAACGAAACCATAATGAATGCAATAAAAAGAGTGTTCTAGGACTTCCACAGGAAGATGATTTTTTTTAAAACACAGATTTGCCAGTTTTTACCACTGATCACAAGAGCTAGCTGCAAATGTGGAACACGCTCATTTTCTTCATCCTTTATGAGCCTGCCAAAGCTACAACATAAAATGACCACCTGTGTTACATTGCAGAACATGTTAAAATTCACTGAAAGAACACAAGGGATTTGAACAAGGCCTTAAACAAAGTCAGCATGAAGGATCAGGATCTGTAAGCGACATCTCTGGGAGATCTGATGCCAGCCCTACATTTGTCCTGTAAACCTACAGACCACATTTTAACATTAAAACACACATTCTGCATTGGAATCCGACGATTCTTCTAGGACCTTGAAGACACCCATTTTTTCCTTTTTCAGTTTTTCAGAGGCCTTCATTTGATCTAGGATTAAAAGAAAACAAAATATGAACAATAACAGGTAAAGTGTCTTCCACCTTACTATTGCAGACGTCAAAGCTTTATGCATTTTTGTTTGGATTTAGAAAACAAGTTGATAAACATACTTCTGCTCCTTCATCAACATTCCTACACCTCTGGCTAAATCTGAATGGAGATGAGCAGTTTTAAAATCTGCCTGACCTCATCCCCTTTTCCTGGGAAGAAAATGGAATGCAGTAAACCTGTTCAGTAAAGTTACTAGGAGAAACACAGGAAGTTACAGCTCTGCTAAACACGATTCTTTTCTAAAGTTCAAAGAACTACATTCTTGTTTTCCTAGCACTTGCAATCACTATGTTGCCCTTCCAGTGTACATAAAGTAATGAGTAAGTATTGTCTTTATAACAAATGTAATAAACATGGCTTACAGGGGTGGGAGGCAGCATTTCAGTTTCTAAAGCATTAACTGCAGTTAGTTGTCGTAAATATTCAGTACATAATGCTAGACTAAGATCTTTGTATAAACATCAATAATTTTGGTATACTACTTTTGCTTAGTATAGCCTTGAAAAAAGTAACCAGGATAGATACGATGCACATTAATAACGAAAGAAACAGCACTGTCTCCAACCTGATGGGAGACATCACATTGTTTCAGACTTAACTTGCCACGTTAGAGACAGCCCATATTATCAGTGCTTCAAGAATCATTTTCTATATTAGTAGTTAACTGAAATAAGCATTTTATAAAATAATTTCTTTAGATAATGTAGGAAAAATGTTCAGTATAGCAGCCGTTCTCCTAAGGCAAAGTTATTTTACTCAGACGATAGCTACCACACTTATTTAAGGCTAGCTATAATTTTTACTTCTAAATTCTGTAATGACTGATTTTTCTGTATCTATGCTTTGCAGCTTATCTCTCCTAAAGATGCTGAAGGAAACAAAGCATACTAAATCTACTGTTTAGATGAACTGGACAAGATTTTTTTTCCTTTCTCAGAAAAGCTGAGTTTGGTTTTTTTATAGTAGCTTGGCCTGATCAAGCACTAAAATTTGCAGACAACCTCAAAAATTTTTTTTTCAAATATTTGATCCACTGACAAGCCACGATAACTCTGCAAAGCTCCGTTCTCCCCTCCAAAAATGTGAGACTGTCTATTGAGTTATGATAGCATCAAAATGGGTTTTAAGACAGGCTTGCTGAAATAGAAATTGTGCTCAGAAAATGCTTATTTTGATCAATTACAGCAACTGGCAGGCAAGTCGCTTTGCAGAACACCTCCTGCTCTATGCTTTTCATTCACAGTATGCTCAGGGCACACTGCATCAATGTGGTTTTCTGGAACACTTTTGTTTAAGCATCCTGTTCATATGTACAACACAGCTGTAGGCCACAATGCTATGGCAACTTTCTACATATAAAAGACTCGTAAAATATGAATTTACTGTTGAACAGAAAAAGAACCATATGAAAACTCTTGACTTACCAATAAGATCACTTCTATCCAAGAGTAACTCTAGATCTTTATCACTGATTACTTTCTCTTTAGATCCTTTAACCTCCCTGTTGAGGAAGAAAGAATTCTCAATACAAATAAAACCATGTTACTGTATTAGTACAGAAATCACTTTTCCCACATAGCAGAATCCCTAGGACATTCATTCCACTTTGAAGATCCACATATCACTTCCTCAGCGCTATCGACAGCTGCAAGTTACAAACTCATGGCCCAAGAAAAATATGAAATCTGCATACCTCTCATAGTCTCTGGATTTCAGTAATTCTAATAATTCCTGAGGATCCAGGCAGCTCTTTGACTGTGCTAGACCAGACTTCCCACCTTTAAACTGATCTGTAGAAAGGAGAAATTTTAAGAAAGTACAGAGATAGGAACAAATTCTGTAAATTGTCAGACCAATGCTGGATGCACATATTGAACAAATGACTCTTGCACATCAAGACTAATGTTGTGTTTCACCCCTTTAACACTCAGGCAAAACACACCTTACGCTGACAGCCTAACTGGTGAAAAAATGCAGAGGTGCATGGAGAGTTTACATGCAGGCCTTTCACCTTCCAGCTGCAGTATGCAGAAGAACTGACTGACACCAATTCAACATGCACACATGCGCACAGAGAGCAGAAAAGCCTTTAGTTCTACTTACAGTAAAACCACTGTAAATAAACTTAGATGGTGGATGCTGAAGTTTGTTCCCTTTGTATTGTAAGCTGGTTGAAACAAAGCAAGCAGTATTAACCACAAGATAAGAAACACGTGAAAGATGTGGTTTGCGGAGAGAACATCCCTCAGTTTAATGGACTAGACAGACATGACACAATAATAACACCTGACATTGGTTTCCTGAAGAGACTACGCTAACACCTATCTACACACAAATCTGGATGTCAGCCCAGATAGCAAAAAATATTATACAAGATTATTACTTAACTAAAGCTGAGCATGGGTGAAGCCAAGCTGTCTTGCACATTTCAAGGAGACAGGCAAGGCTTACTGTTCCATGCCAGGTTTCCTCATTTCTTATCAACACATGTATCCATTTTTTATGTCTTCATCAATCCCTTTCACACTCACTGCTGTTCTTTCCTGTATTTTGGTTTCAGAAGTCCTTCCCACACCTTTTCCCATCTGCCTCCTAGGACTGGCTGTTTCTCTGCAAAGCGCAAATCTGATGCAAGTTCCAGAGGGGTTTGAACTATAGGATTCTCTCCCCCATTAACATCTGCTGTGACACACAGGATCCAGGTCCTGCCCTGTATTATTAGCGATGCTGTCTCTCCCTTTTAGTTTTCAGAGTTTCACAAACTATGTGGTATTGAATTAGTGCTGGTCTTGGGTTGCAATAATAGTGGCACAGGGAAAAATACCAGTTTAATTGAAATCACACTGGTTCTCATACAGCTCACTAGGCAACTTTCTTCAATAAAGAAGAAGCACAAGGTGGAAAGAGCAAACTGGTGCTGAGGCCAGAAAAGCATTCTGTTTTGCAAGAAATTCCAGTTCTTAGGTTCTACTACTTTTATTGTGCACACCCTGCATGATTTGACACCACTGAAAGGCAAGATTTAAATAAGCTTTGTGATATCCCTTCCTCATTCACTCCTACAAAATTCCAACACTTTTTAGACATTCAAGATGACAGGATCTATTACACCATCTTTACACTGACACAGTGAATCCAATGGTTCCTGGAGGGGACAACCCTACCTATGTTGCAAGATTTTGGTATGATTCACCACTAGTTAGTAAGATAAATATTCAACTATTTGCAAAACTGAAGGCAAGACCCTTATACTTCACTTCCTTCCAGAACACCAACTAGTCCCAGTTCCCATTGCTACTTCAGTATATAGCAGTCATCTAATATTAGAGTCCATCCCATTTTGTGTGCTCATCTTGCCGCTTTGGTTTTAACTTCAGGTTGGACCATAATAAAATAACTAAAAAAACTTTTTTTTTTTCCTTAAATTGGTCATTAACATGCCTATCAAGAGCCAGACAGTAGCCCTGGCAGTCACATCAAGACAGCAGTGGCAACAGATTAAACAGAAAAGGGCTCAAGGTAGAATAAAGGAAGCATTAACAAAGATTAGCCAACATCATCCAAAATAGGCAAAACACAGTTTAGGATTGATAAGCAGTGTACTGTGCACTAGACAGAGTTACAGGTGCAGCCTTTCTGCCCTCATAAAATGGCGTTTTTATTTGTCCTTACTATATTATGAGAAGTTCTTAAACCCCTTCGAAGTTTACTATAAGGCTAATTATTGTCAGAGGTCCATTCCAAGTTACAAGAACTATTGTATTTTTCAAGTGAGCTTAGTGTTTGGAAAACACTAGGGAACTACTGTTCAAGTATCACAGAGCAGGTCATGGAAACAAAGCAGGATTCCTATAGCACCCAAACAGGAAAATATACCCCCAAGAGACACATTAACCCAATCATTTTCTGGAGACACTCGTGTAAGTCCAGATACATAATCAAGACCACAATAATCACCACTGTTGTGCACATCAAAATCAAGGACTATTGCTCTATTCAGAGTTGGTTAATTGTTATAACAGGACTTTCGTGGTTATAACATTCTGTTCTTAACTTCAGAAGGACAGACGCAAACAGGTACTGAAATTTTGTACAGTCATTTTACAGCTCTACGATTTGCTATCTCAACCAAGTTTAGTATGAACTATCCCCCCCCCCGACTTTTGATAGTCTCGACTCATTTTAATAGGAATACTCCCTACTCAAGCAAGTTTCCCAGTGCAACTGAAAAAAAATCTACCACTAAAATTCCCACCATGAAACACTGCTCTAGATGTCATTGGACAGGCATAATGCTCCAAATGAATAATTGTTATAAACTGCAAGCAGTAGTTTTTTAAATCTGCTTTTCTGTTCATATTCTGGTTCAATTAATTTGATTTTTAAAAGATAATGAAATCAGACCTGTCATCTATTCCCAGCATTCTATGCTAGAAGTCTGAAAACATTTGGGTCAAACAAACTACCATCTTGCTGACAAACTCCCAAGAAGCCTAGAGCTCTACTCTCCCATTGCCTGGTTTTACCTACATTTCTTCTAGGTAAGCTCACTGTCCCATCTCCCCTCTTTCTTCCTTAACTACTAGAAAAGGAGTAGTCATAACATAGATATTCCAGAAATACTAGAAGTGCCTTCCTTTAATTTGCTGCACTGGTAATCTGCAATGTATCTAAGAACGCATTTTGTGATACTATATAGTCACAAAATACTAAGCAGTCACAAAACAAAGCAGTAAGAGTTTTCTTGAGATTTAAAGAGGCAACACACGCTTACAGGAAGTCATAAGAGCAAGATACTAACTTTTGTGGATAATCAGCTTTTCCAGCTTCCTCTTGGCAGCAGCTCTCTCCACAATCTTCTGGTCAATAGTATTTGCTGTCACAAGACGATAAACAACCACCGGCTTTGTCTGGCCAATTCTGTGACACCTGTCTTGGGCCTGCAAGTCCGACTGGGGGTTCTGAACCGATGAAAGAAAAAAAGTTAGCCGTACCATTAACTTTTTTTTAAGGGATGTACCACAGGCAACATTTCCAACAGTGAGCTCAAGAGTTGCGAGCTGAAGCACTAAGCAGAGCAGCTATGTATAACAGAACTCTACATCTCTTTGCTCTTGAACTCGTCTATGCCAAGCTCTGCTGCTGTAGCCGCACAGTCAGAGTAACCCAACCAGCTTGACTGCTTCTGCACTATGTGCTGCAGTTTTCAATAGATGGACATGCTTTGTATCACAAATTTACCTGAGGGTGTTAGTTTGTATGGGTTTTTTTTGTGGAGGATAAGAAAAAGGATTTCAAAAGTTTTCAGCCATTTCTGAAGCTGCTTTAGCTCTCTGAAGCTGAATTGTCACACAAACAGCAGGCTCATCTATTAAAATAAAGCCAAGTTGCAGTGGTCCTGTTGTTTCCTTCCACACCTCTCTTCCTCCCAGCCTCCAGGCTCAAAAAAAGCAGCAGAATCCTAGCTAGCTAAAACACAGGCAGCAAGTCACAGGAGGAAATTCAAGGGCCTGGTACTAAAATTGCAGCTGTTGGAAACAGGGAACCTGTAGAAGGTCTGGCTACATTCAAACTTAAATAATAAATCAAAAGGCAGCAATGCACCTTCAGTAGTAACAGAAAAAACTCTCCTGCTTTTGGTGTAACTCAAGGGCAACCAGGCTAGTTTTAGAAACCAGCTGTAACATCGTATTTAATAAGCTAGGACTTTTCAAATGATACTGTGTATTTCATATATGTTTGCATAAACTACTTGCTATTATCTTCATGTAACACCTCATTGAAGTTGCAGAAGTGATCTACACCATAGTGGGTTAGTAAATGATTATCAAAAGCAGCAATAGAGCAAGCATTTTATGACGCGTATCATAAGGTAGAGAGTCTGTCAACATACCCAGTCACTATCATATATGATAACCGTATCTGCCGCAGTTAAGTTAATGCCCAGGCCTCCAGCTCTTGTACTCACTAAGAACAGGAAGACTTCAGGGTCAGTATTAAATTGATGCATCTGGAAGAGAATTAATCTATTAAAAAACAGCAGATGGATCAAACAACTTAGGTCTCAAAATAAAACATTAGCTATGTTTAAAAATATGAACATGGTTAAAATACAGCATACACCATCAGAGACCAAACTACGACTTTAAGAAAAGTTGCATGCATTTGGGACAGGAAAAGACCAAGCAGTGAATCGATTGTATTTTCGTATCAGATGATTCCAGTTAATGAGCTGTCTAACATACAGAGTGGAGATGGCCACAGTGATGGATGGTCCAAATCACATTCACCTCCACATCATCTACCATCCATTAATATTCTCCAAAGTGAGCACAGACCAAGCTGGCAGAGCCTAAAAACGTACCTACTTCTTGACACAACCATCAATATAAAATACTGAGGCCAACTTGACCGTAACTTCCAGCCACCCTGTATACCTCCTTCTCTTACTTGAAAGCTAAAAGTAGCTCCCTGGCCTCCTGCTCAGCATGTAGCCTGCTTTCACTGCAAGATGCATCCAACTGTCAGCCCAGCTCCTACCAGGTCTGCAGTACCAGTCAAACCTAGTCTACTTAGGCTGACCACCCACATGCTGGTAGAACACTGGAAGAGTATAGTTAGCAATTTTCAGGACTTTAGTCACTGCAGAGGAAGAGAAACCATCTCTCCACTGCCAGGTCGAAGCAGCTACCCAAGCTCTCTAAAAAGCCCCATATCCTCTGGGCTCCCCTGGACACAGGATCTGCAGCACCAGCAGCAAATCATGGAGCTGGGATGAGGTTTGCTGAACTTCATCTGGTGACATGGAAAGCTTTCTCTTATCCTGCACCCATACCAATTGTGATAGGCACACAATCAACTCCTAAAAATCCTCACAAGCCAGCAGTACAAAATTTTACCAGCTCAATAAAAGTCACTATAGCTTACTGACATGTTGCTAGTTAGCCTTTTCTCTTTAAGAATCAGCTCAATCAGTGGCAACCTAAGTGTTTAGCGGTGTGGTTTTCCTCAGCCACATTAGGGCACAGAAAAAGTGAGTCAAAAAGAAGCACAATTTGAGCTAGATGATGTGTCATCTGCCAGTTTTTCCGTACCTTCATAAACAGTAGTGCATACTTTGGAGACCGGATGGCAATTGCAGCACATCCCCTAGATACATCTGGTGTACTTCCTTCCATGTACGCATTGCACTTTTACAGCCCTCAAACCCTCAGAGGTTTTCCAGAACCACCCTGCATGGCTGCTTTTCATGATAAATATGTGCCCCGGTAGCAAGGCATTCTGTGGTTATTTGAAACCATTACAAGCATGCAAGAACAAAGGATTGCACTGGAACAAATCCATGTGCAATTTCAGGCTGAAGTTACAGGTATCCCACTAGGTACAAATTCCCATTTCCTGGAAATTGACTTTATTTGGCATTAAACTTGCAGCATGCTCCCACAGAAGCTGGCTTCGCCTCGAGGATGCTAGGAAACAACAATACATGCAGGGGTAAAACTGGGATTAGTACCTGCCACAATCTAGACATACTACCTACTTCACAACTGGGTAACAGACTACATGAGCACCCATCAACCTAAGCATACTCCCAGATATTGGTTAGTAACACATTTCATTGCTTCAGTATTTGAGCTGCAGGTATTAAAAGCAGCACCAAGGATGCCAGTTCGCAACATCTCTTGTATTAAAGGCTAAATGCCGTGTGAAATCATCTCTCACACAAAGAAGCGGAATTTGGTGACAGGCTCAAAGGGCATGTACATCTACTTACATTCTCTTCTCTCTCCGAGTAGGACATCGAGCCATCCAATCGACTAAATTTGAAGTCTCTCAGGTAACAGTAATCCATCAAAATGTCAAGCATCATAGTCATTTGTGAGAATAACAAGACCTACAAAATCAGGAACATTCCTTAGTACCATTTTTTTGGTCATAAGTAGACAGCTATGTTTCCACACCCCAAATCATGAGGCTTTACCTTATGTCCTCTCTTCTTCAGTTCTGGGAGCATTCGATCCAAGAGCAGAAACTTGCCTGAATTCTTGACTAAGTTTTCATCAATCTTGGAACAGGGGAAAAGGGATCATGTTAGAAGGGTAAGATATGAAACATTTCTCCAACTCAGAATCAGTTAAATCGTGATGAAACTAAATCAAACCCCACCACTTCATATGCTCAAATGATTTTTTTAAAAAATCCAACTAGTTTTCTTCCCATTTCTGGAAGGAGAAACCCTGACCATTTTAATCTTTCCCCATGGAAAAGTGCTGTTTTCTCTCCCAGCTTGTAATGAATGTACATGGCTTCCACCCACTGGATGTAAGGATGCACTACATCAGCCAAGTGACAACAGAACAAGTTTTTTGACTGCTACCTTAGGCCCCTCTTTTGCTGAAGAGAGCTTGTTAGATCTAATTCTTGCTATGGGCTAAGAGCAGGCATATAGAAACTTCTCAGGTCTGAGCCACAGAGCAGCCACCTTCATAATTCCTAATCCATTTTCCTGAGCGGGTGCCAGCTCCTGCAAGTGGTGTCAACCATCAAGTAGTCTGCATTTTCTACACATTAACTAATTTCCCCTCATCATCCAGATGGGCTATCTGCTTTTTATGCACTGACTTTACACTGATTAACTTCAACAGCTTGTTCCTCACTGCAGCTGAATCTGTTATCGCTCACCGAACAGGAAACATGACTACACATGCCCACAAACCTACATTTAGCATGTGCAAGCAGCTTCTACTTGTTCAAGATTCTTTCAATTCAAATTACTTCATACTTTCCTATATTGCAAACTGTTTTGTGAAGATTAAACTACCAGCTGGTCTCTGTGATATAATTTGGATTTTTTTTTTTCCCCTTAGAGGAGAAAGGATGCTGTATTCTCAGAGCAAATGACCGATATACTTGGTTCAGCCCTCCAACACCTCACACTTAAAAAGTTACCACTGCAACTCCTGCAACATGTACAATTTATCTCATGAACAGTTCGCCAATGTCAGTAGTTTTTGTTTTGAAAATTAACCTTTGTGAGGAGAGCTTGAGGCAAATCCCAAAACACTTTGACTCAACGGAAGCCAGATACTGTTTTAATTCAGTAACTTTGCTCCCAGCAGATGAACACTGCCATGACTAAGAATGGTATCACTGTGCAAAGGCTAAATGGGCACAGAGGCTGAACCGGTAGGGCTCAACTGCTGCTGTAGGAAGCTTCAAATAATGATTGTCACACTGCTGGAATTCAGTGGGGAGACACATGCCAAATACCTTGAAAAAGTCATTCTTTACTGCCTTCAGATGACAGTCTATTGCTTTTTAATGCTGGAATAATTATTACCATAATACTTTTCAAATAGGTACCTTGAATTGTTGTGTAGCAGGGTCCAACGGGTATTCAATAAGATAGGGGTGATTGCAACATTTCCTCAGTAACATCATAATATTCTGCAGTTTAAGGTTCACCTCTGAATCCATGGGAATGCTCACTTCTACCACCGGCCTTGAAAAGATACATCATCTTATTAGTACAGAGAGCATCTCCTTATTATACCACAGATACCGAAGAGAGGAAAAAAAAAAAAAAGAGTAATAAACCCAAAAATCAATCAATGGATTCACATGGTGTGTCATACGTCCTCAAAATCCCTCATAGTTAGTAAAGCTATTACCAGATGAAAAACTTCTTTTGGTGCCACACTTGGCACCAGAGACACAAGAGTTTGCCATTATTGTTTCAAAATACAAAAGGGCAGTCAGTAGTAATGAGAAGCAAAAAAAACCCCAACCCACCCCACTTGTGTAAGTCACCCAGCAGAAAGGGAACAGAAACAAGCTCTCTCTAGAACAAATGGTCAGATCTCCTGCAGAACAATACATAAGCTATTAGAAAAGCAGTTCTCTGCCTAATCCCATTTCAGTCACACACGTACACATTGCAGGATTCACAACAAATACAGCTACTTAGCTCTTCCGCATCTAAGTACCCCCTCCAAACGTCAGGGATCCATGTATACCATAAAACTCATACAAACATACATTTAAGTGTCTTTCAAACTAGACTGGACTACAATAGAAATTGAGCAAAATAACTACATTTCAACTCTGAAGATTAATCTGGTTTTCCTTACAACTAAAGGACTTCCAACCAATTTAGAGCCACCTATAAGCCTTGCCAAACCCCGGAATGAACATGATTCCTCAGCTCTCTCAATCCTGAACCTCAATTCTAGTCTTAATCACCAGAAAGTGACCAATACCTGTCACCAGAACAGCAGTAACTGTGCTGGCCATTTGGGTTCCAGGCCTCTGCTTAAGCAGAATTTCACAATGAAAATACTCCTCCTTTCTCTCCAGTCTTGAGCCCTAACTTTGCTTCAAGTATTCCTGAGTAATTCCACAAAAATCTAGGAGTTAACTGTAGTTAGCTCACCAGCATTATTCCTTATCCTGTCTTTGAGCCAACGAAAGATCTAACTGTGAAAGTAACTGAACTTTGGAGACATAAGGTTTACCTGAACCTTGCAAAGCCTGCAAAACCTAGCAATAAGCCAAGCTCTTCAGCTCTGTTCCCTCATTGCTAGCTGTAGCCAGAACCTAAGCTATTACAATGAAATTTCAATTACCAAGTAATTAAGACGAAGCAGTTCTTCCCTGGCTGGCACCTGACACCATCTTAGATGTCAAGGCTTTGGTGAAACCAGTTCTTCACTACCAAAACGTTTTAACAGCCCAAAGGAATTACATTTCACCCTTGGACATTTTAACTTTGTATGGATTATCAATAGCACTGTCATCACAGGACCTACCTAAGACTGACTAATAGAAACAGGGACTCAAGAAGCGATTTTAGTGCTAGATGCTGCAAAGGCCAAATGTCTAGGAGGTCTGTAGCAAGCAGGAATAAATGTCTTCCAGTTAACTATAACTTTAACGAGTCAGTGAGTGGTAGTACAGCCTAATCATTGCTATCATGGCCTAGGAAATTTCAGTTAAAAGCAAAGAAACACATCATAAAGCTACAAGGATAGTGAATTACAAAATGCCATTCTTGATCAATTCGAATAAGCAAAGCCCTGGAAGTAGAGGGAGATACAAAAAGAATCTTTTAGGGGAGGCACCTCTCTTTTTCTACTTCCGCTTGCATTTTGCTGATCAATTTTTCCAAGTCATCAGGTGAATCATTACGTTCTTCACAATAATCAACCAGTTTCCGACGACGACGTTTTGGTCGGCCTGTAGGACTCAACTCAACTACTTCTTCCTGTGGGAAATAACGTTGCCATCAACAGCAGATAGCTTCAGATTCAAAGGCCTATGCTGACCCAAGAATTCTCACTACTGATAAGAGGTATCAGTGATATGCATCATGCAATACTGACGACTCTGAAGCTCTAAGTTTTCCTAAGTAGAAAATGCAGCCCAAATTTTAAAAGGTCTGTAATTGTAGAATTTGAAAGCTTCTGCTTGATTTTCAAAAGCAGCATTAATATCTTACTCATTTTACAGCAGAAATTGTCAACTCTATAAAAACGTCATCTTTTCCCCCAAGCAACAAGTAACCAAGAAGAACACATTACACTCATACTGTGTTAGTTCTGAGCCCATTAAGTCCAGTCACAGTACCTGCCATTGAAACAGGTAACAGAAGGATCAGAATAAAAACTTAAGCAAAAAGTGGGTTTAGTTACAATGGCAATGAAGCAATACCAATGTGGGTTTGCCTACAAACCATTAATAGCAAGCACAATTTCTAACATCCCTATCAGTAGATACCTCATTATTTCCAAGCAGTTTGCTAATGGTGCGATTTACAATGGCAGTATAGAAAGTTTCTTGCTTCTTTGTCAGCGGTGCATATACCACAACTTCTCGTTTAGGAGGAACCTCAAGAGCAACATCAGATTTCAGTCTTCTCAGTAAGAAAGGTGTCAAAATCTGAAATGTGCAGGTGTGTTACAATTACTCAAAGCTCTCAACATGGCTAGTTTTAAAAAAAAAACCCACAACAAAAACCACACACACCACACAATTTAAAGTAACAAAGTTAATTTGCAGAGTTCCATATTTCTTTAATATGGATGCCTACTCCCAAAACTTTTACGTGCATACTGGTAATACATGTATTCAAACAACATACCCATTGACCCTAAAAGTTCTGAAGTGTTTAATGAGGGTACAGTAGCAACTACATTACAACTACAGACCTTCCAAATAATTTTAATTAAGAGAAAATAATTTTATTATGAAACAACTCATTTTGCTTCTTATATTTCATAAGTTATTCTGGGAAAGCCCAAAACCTTTAACTGAAATAAATAATAAATTGTTATCGACAATTCTCTCACCAACAGCTTAAGATGGGAAAATGTTAGTTTTGTAAGCATTTACTTCCACACCCCCTCTTTTTTAGAAGTTTTGAGTGTTAGTCTGGTTTTGAAGACAGGCACATTAAACAACCGGTCTGTCCAAGGTATTCTGTTCAATACCTAAAGGCTACACAAATTCTCTCAAAGTTATCTTTCAACAAAAGAAATATAACAATTATACCTCTTGGCAAACGGAAGCTAGCAACTGCAATTAAGTTTGACTAAACTCAATTCAGTTCCAAGAATAAAAATGAGTCGTTATCAAAGAGGTGTATTGTTCCTTTCAGCATTTAAAAGAGCTGTAAAGACTGAACACCCCCCTCCCCCTCAAGTGTGAGTCAGTTTAGAAGTGCCACAATAAAAATCTCAGGCCCAGAATTCAGCTCCACAAACAAGATTTTGACACACTTAGTAACGGTCTATGTTAGAAATAAACCATGAAAAAACCCAATACAAATAATAAGTGAAACCTGATGCAGCATATGCAAGATGTTTTGCTCCCTTTCTTTAGCAATAATATCTTCGGCAGTTTCTGTAACACTGGTAATATCAAACCAGGATTCAAAGCTATAAAAACAAAGAAGAAAAAAAAAGAAGAGTAGTTTACTTCATTTCTGTTATCCTTCATTACTGAATTACACTGTTATTTTATCCCGCTATTTAAGAAAAACACACCACTATGTCCATCATGAATACAGGATGAACAGGAGGTATTTCTGAAATTTACCTGTCAATTCAGAGGCTCAAGATTTTAAATGGCAGGTAAAAAACCTTGTATTTGTTGGAATATTCACTATGATCAACTATATTCGATCTAGTTTGTATCTTTTTCCAAAATTAGTCTAAAGACTGTTTTGGCAACAGTCTTCCACCTGACCCCCTACTGCTTCTGAAAAGGATCTGTCTCCCCCAGTCCCATGTCTGGCAGCCTCACATAACTTTCTCCAGTACCTTAGAGAATCTCAAGCAGCACCAGGCACTTAGGATTAGAAAAACATCTCTCCCCCTAAATAAATGCTCATGTCTTAGCTCAGAGTTGAGCTTCCACTATCCACAGAGCTGACAATTACTTCCTTCCTTTCTGAAGCAACTAAGCATGAAGGCAAGACACATTTCAAAGCCTTTACCACCAAATAATCATACTGAATTACAACCATAACATAACCCTTCACACGCTGATACACGTTTAATAATTAAAGAGGGCACAATACTGTCCAAACAGAACAAAGGGAAATAGTTTACACCATCGGACTGCAACTTACCTTTTCAAATCATCAAACACATCTGGCAACAGGAAGTTAAGCAACGACCAAAGCTCTGCCAGGTTGTTTTGCAGGGGAGTACCGGTCAACAGGAGCTTATTGTCTGCATTAAATCGTTTCAATTCTCTGATAAGGCGGCAGTTCATATTTTTAATTCGGTGCCCTTCATCTACTATCAGGTATTTCCAGAAGCAGTGCTACAAAAAGAAAGGGCATTTCAGTACACCTTAGCTTCACCCCAACAAAACACTTGCAGATGAGAGAAGCAGCAGAACTAAGACTGATTCTATTTACTGTTGTTTCTCACTTTGCAAGAATGGAAGAGCTGAGTCCAAACAGTTAGTGCCATACATCTGCTTCATGGTGACTGCATTTAGAAAGCTCAAGTGATTACAATATAAATCGGTACAAGAAAATCATCCCACTGAAACCACCACGCTGATGTTAACTCTGATATTCGCACATTAACTACAGCTTTTACTCGAAGCCTCCCCCACCATTACCTAGAGACGTAATGAGAAGAGCAGTTATGTTTTAACTGTCTGCTTACTTCACACTTTTTGGCTAGTGTTCTGTTTAAAGAACTTTTTAAGCATAAAATTCCAGAGCCACCACTACCCAGGAAAGAGAAGTGAATGTCAACATAAATGCTACAGTATGACAGTCGTAGAGGCTACATGTGATTCTGTGGTTTGGTTGCTTTTTTTGGCGGGTGGGTGGTTTGGGGTTTTAAGCTATATTAAAAAGCATTGCTGTTAGTGATGAAGCATTCCACCCCTCTGAGGAATGCCCCTCAGAGGGCTTTCAGGAAAACTTAAGATACCTGCAGGGCATTTCTGTCTCGCATTGCTATTTCAAAGGAAGTAATGACCACAGGATGGATTTGCAGCGATCCTTGTCGCATGTGAATTTTACGAACCAATTTGCGACGGTCCTGCTGAGCTCCATGATAGAGCATGAGGGGAATCTGAAAAAAGATGTTTAGAAGTCAGGTGAACTATGCCCATTTAAACCTAAACATAAGATAGTAAAGATAATTAGGCCTGTTACAAGAAGGCTGTAAACACATAGTAAGTCACAGCACAGGGTGTAGTAACCACAAACACCTACAATTAAACTGATGTTCTATACTGAGAAAGTTTCAAGGCAAAGAATAAGAATTAAATAATTTGTTCTTTTAAACCAAAGGAAGAAAAAGCAGAAAATTTTTATTTCTTTTACCTCTGGAGTAAATCTCTTGAATTCAGACATCCAATTTGGAAGAGTAGACAAAGGACCACATACTAAGAATGGACCAGGGACTCCTCGCTCCACCATCAGTGCTATCGTTGCAATACACTGGATTGTCTTTCCCAACCCCATTTCATCAGCTAAAATGCCGTTGATACCATTTTCCCAAAGCATCTGCACACACAGAAAAAGAAACATAATGAGAAAGAACCAACACACCTTAGGAACAACAGACATCTTTAGGAACGTACAACCAGTGGAAACTCTCCACTAGGCACATTTTATATTACAGAAAAGTAAGATTTATCCATGATAAAAATAAATACAAGCATCTTGTAAACCCCAGACATTCATACATAGGTGTACGTGCTTCTGGCCAATTAATTGCCTGACTAGGAGGCAAAACCCAGAATTGTATCAAAGGAAAGGATTTAAGTGTTACAGCAAATAGCACTTCAACCCCAAGCACAGCTCACACTATCCAAATTTTTATTCATCCCAGCCCCAAAGAATTCCCTTAGCTCCCCCCTCTAAAAGACCAAGTTATTGTGCTGATGCTTCAGTTTTATCTGTTCACTTAGATTTTATAGACACATCTACTTCACCATAGGAAACAGGTGCAATTCCTGACCAACACAGCCAGCTGTTCCAGCAAGTCCTTTGCGCAGACACTGCCTATTCTGATAGGGGACAGAGCAACCTCTCTCCAAAGAGCAGAAAGACAGATATAGAAGTGTTCTTTGCATAAAGTCACAAAGAAGGTTATTATAGCTGAGGGCCCAACAAAAGCAGTTCTTTTTCACCCCAGAACAAGTCTGTTTTCTCTACACACTTCCCAGTGACAGAACAGCAAGTTTAGTGTCACTGACTTGTGAGATCAGCCTAAGCCTGTTAGAACAGGATACATGTGCTTGTGGGGAAGAAAAAAGAAAAGTAAAAACCTAAGGGAAAAGTAGATCAGCAGCAGAGTGAAAATTAATTCTGTCTGGCTCTGATAATTAAGAAGCAAAGTTGTTCTAATTTTGCTTGCAAGCAAAAATAGGGAGAAATTTAACAGCTATGTAGGCCATTTTTATGGCAAGTTTATTTAGTTTTTTATTTCAAACACTAAAGACAAAACATTTTTAAACCACAGAGTTAAAATCACTAGGTTAGATTCCAAGATGCAGAGAATAGAAAGCCTGCAAAGTAATGGGTCTTTTGACACCTAAGAAGCTAGGTAATTCATGTCCTTCAGAGAAAAAAAAAATAGCAAGGCTGTCCCTTTGTAGTATGCATGGGCCTTCTGCTTTCACAAAGTACTTATAAAGAACAGGCTGAAAAGACAGTTGAGTTGAACAGGGAAAAAGAGATGAAAGGGAATATGGAGAACACCAACCAAAAAAAAAGTCTAAAAAAACATTTACAAACACAAATATCCTCCCCACACTGAAATTTTGTATCTGCTGCTTGACAACTTTTTCTAACACCAGATTCTTGTATGAGAAACCATAAAGAACTGTCTCTTCCTTCTTCAGCTTCCCTGTACCATCTATGATCACTGACTTCTAGTGTCTGTTCCCCTCCATTTCTCTGTCTCCGGTCAGCAACAGATTCAATTTCATCAGCAATCGCTCCATACCCGTAGCCACTCCATGCCTTCCACTTGGTACCACCTCATTACACCTCCAGTAAAAATCTTTGGCTGCTGAAAAGGCACTGGTTGTCCGTTAAATTTCCGTACTGGATCAAGGAATTGCTTGGCACTGTGTCGTACAGCTTGACACAATCTATCCTTAATGACGCTATTTGAGTCGCCGTTTTTCTGCAGGTCTTCTGGACACAGGTTGTCAGAAGAGATTTCATCCTGGAGAGGGAAGTTCAAGGAATATGTGACAAGCGGCAGGCACAAAGCCCAGCTAAGACATATGTTTGCCCAATTTACACCAGTCTTAAGGTGGAGTGAAGTAAGCCAGCCGCTGAGTCAAAGGCTTATTTTGAGTAACTGTCGTCTCAAGAGTAGAATTATTTATAGGATTAGTATTACTACATAGGCAGATGTCAACATGAAAAATTTCAATGCCTTATATTCATTCTTTACTCGTGTAGAACTGAAGAGCAGTGTTAGCTACTGAAGCGATTTGGCTTATAATTTTCTACCCATAAAAGCAAGCAGACTTCAAAGTTCCCCACAGTGGCTGGCATTAAATGCAGCTATCTCACCTCTGCAGGTACATTGTAGAGAATGCTGGAAAGTAATTCATACTGTGCTTGTAACTGTTAAGCTACAGCAGAAGCAAAAGACCACACTTGTTATCTCCATGCTTGAACGATTAAAAATCCTTGTCTTAAGGTCTCACACCGGCACAAGTATTTCCTAGTAAATTCCTACTTCCTTTATTATTTTTGACACTACAGACATTCTAAAATACACTCAAATTCAATGTTTAAAAAAAAAAATTAGAAGTTTTCATCCCAGATTTCTGTAAATAAGTACTGAAGTGCATTCACTTGCACCACTTTTTTAAACTTTTAATTCAGGAGTTCAACAGCCAGCAGATGTTTATGTACAGGAAAAGTTTGAAGATACGCTATTAAGTATAAAAAGCCTTCCCTCCCTTTAGGCTTAACACACTTAAACTACAATAATATGTGTCAACATACCTGATTTTCCACTTTACTTTTTTTTGCCACCGATAGTATTTCCTGGAAACAAAGAAAAAAAACCTACACTTATGCGCTTTTCAACCTTAAAGTCTACTACAAATTGTATTTCATGAGATCATTTAATTGAAGAATCTGGACATACTTTAAAAAGCTTTCCATACAACATCATGAATCATACCAGTGACTAGACAAGGCCACACACCAGAGAACACATTCCAGTTAAAAAGGGTAATTGAAAATTCAGCTGGAGCTATAGTCTCCTCACAGCTTGCCTCCCCAAAGACTTCCCCCAAATCCCCACCCGGATCTGAATTCTACAGGTCTGACCACACTGCTTGTCACACAGATCATTGCTGGAAGAAAGCCGTACATTACAGATAGATACTTCTAGCTGATAGTCTGATGGCTACGTACCAGAATGTCTTGCTCTAACACACAATGTCACACAGCCATCACCTCACCAGCTAAAAATCTGCGCTCCAAAAATCCAGATAAGCCTATTTATAGTTATGTCCTACCTCTTTGGACATGATTTCTGAGATATTGTATGTCCCATCTTCTCTTCCTCTCTTCTTTTTTGCACCTATAAAAAAAAATTTATACAACACATCAAACGTTAAAGAAACTAATAACACTAGTACTGACAAAAGGCAAAGCCTAATGTATTACCTGCTTTCTCCTCTTTGCCATCAACTGGGTTTTGACCCTAGAAAATAAACATGGGAAGAGGTTCATCATCTTGTGCATCTCTGACTATCATGACACAGATAAAAAGATGTAATCACCTTCACTACTGCCTTTGAAAGCTTCTTGAAACACTTTTACTATTAAGTAGTTTATAAAAATATAGGAAAAGAGTTTCTGTCTGTATTTTTTATTACTTGCTCAGCATCTCAGCTGAATAAGTAAATAATTGCTAAAATAAAAATCCTCCTCCAGACAAATTGAAGCCATTTTCTTTAGTATAATTAGTTAGAAATATCTCCTTAAGATGACTGTCATGGTGTGCAATTTTTAAACAATCTTATTACAATAAATATGTTATAGTACACAGATCCTGCAAATCAAATACTGGCTAAGTCTAATTTATTTAGTTTATCTACCTTGACAAAACTGACATGGGAATTTGCCAGACTCTTACTTTTATTCAGAAAGTTAAAATAGCTAGTTAATCTTACTTTGGCAGATTTTAACATCATCTCTCTCTTTTTTTCCAACTTCTCTTTCCTTCTTTGTTCCTAAATAAATAAATAAATAGAATGAAACATCACCAATGACAACAAGAAAAAAACCAAACATCCAAAACCAAAACACCTCACACATTTCTTATCTTTCAATAACACGGAGAACTATCCATTAGAGAAGTGGTAACAGGCATAGATTACATTGTAATGTAGAGTTTTGTGCACCCTACAGACTATTTTCTTTTTGCAGTCTCACTGAAAGCAAAGCCTCTAATCTGACATAGCTTAAAATGATAAAGCAAAACTTGGGCAAATAAATACAGGAAAAAGGTGTCAGCCCATCTTAAGAATCCTAACAACACAAGGTAAGAATCTGCAGACTAGAATACACCTACCTCCAGTTGCTGCTGTTCCATTTTGGTTAGCAAGAATTTGGAATAGATGTTGCTTTTTTCAAGCAAATGTTGAAGCCTCTTATAGCGCATTTCACTTGACTCCCTGTCCCAAGTAGTGCGAGCCTGCCCAAGAGAGAGGTGTCAAATATTTACAGATGCTTCAGGGCTAATGGTTTTAATATAACAAAGGGTTCTTCTACAGGATAACTACAATTGCCTCACACACACACGTTTTCCTTTCCCGTCCAGGTTATACATCTGTGATTCATGCTGTACCTGTGAAGTGCTGCAAGATGAAAGTAACCGAGGGTTGCATTCACTTGCATGTGTAAACAGAGCTCTGCAACACATATGCTTCCAGTGCAGTAGCAAAAGGCATTCAGGGGCTCAAAAGTGTCTCAACTCAAATTTACACATTTAGGGCAAAATGAAATTTGAATTTTTTGCAGTCTGCACTATTTGGGAGAAATAAAAAAAACCCTACCCGGCAAAATTCAGTAGTTTCCCAAGTATTAGTTCAGACCCTCCATGTGCCATTTGCACAAAGGTAGTTTTTCATTATGAAAAGAGAGACCTAAAAAACCATCATGCCTAACTAACTTATCGTTATCACACCGGGAATTGACTTGACCTCTGTAACTTCTGCTTGCTTTGCTTACAAAATTCACACATGCCTTTAAAAGTAACTTCTGTTGAATCAGTCAAGGCGGTGCATTTAGAAATTTGCAATTCCGTCTTTAAAACTCAGATCAAGACTCCCCAAAGAGGTAAAAGCGTTCACCTTTCTGCATTCATCCAACATTGCTTGCTGGATTGAGGCATCAGCCAAGTGAAAAGGTGTAAATTAGCATCTCCAAGAGAAACCCCAGAAAAGCAAGATGCAGAACTTTACAAGATGCTTATCTATGCCACTGTGTTCAGAAGAAAACACTGGGGGAAGGGCACACTAAGACAGAAAGGCAATGGAATCTTGTGAAACTAAACAGACTAACAGGCAGGGAAAAAGGATACTGGCTGAATCATGGGACAAACTGTGTGACACAGAAGAGGGGGTTTCTCTCCCCCAGAAATCACCGTTTTCCAAAAGCAGTACTCCATCTTATTCTTATCGGGTAGCTATCACCGTATTCTTTTATGAGGGGAAGATCTATCTCGACAAGTTGTTTGGGAGAAGAGATTGTCTTCTCATGATTCTCCATACAGTTTTTATTTGCTTCTGCTGCCGCCAATCCAGGTTTTTTCCTTCAGATGAAAAGTACCTGAGCTCAGAAAGATCAACCCTTGATGCAACACCAAGAGAGAATAGAATTAAAACTGGACTACTACTTTCAGTAACTTACAATTGCTCACTTTTTACTAGAGTGAACACAGCTCTCTTCTAATTAATTGGTGATTCTGAAGGACTGTTCCCTCGACCAACTGAAAAATTTCAGGGGAAGAAAACTCAAAGATGATGAACAGCACTGAAAGTCATGATTTCTCCACTTTGTCCTTGAAGCCTTTCCTTTTCTCCACTCAACCTTGAAGCCTCAAAGATATGTATTTTTTTCCTGAAAAGGTCAAAAATTTGCCATTCTTGTATATTTGCATAGTGGTATTTTGCCATCAGCCCCCAGAAAGAGCAATTGCCTCCTATGTTGAACCTCTGCACAAATCACCTGGCGGGGGGTTCACTGAAGTGACAAGCATAAAAAACCCAGAAGCTTCAATAACATCAACTGCCCCAAGACACCAGTAAGCCTGAGGGTTTACAACATGAACAATCTCCCTTGGTCTAACCGGCTCCAGACTGCACAGAGAAAGCTCGACAGAAGCAAACCGATGGAGCAAAACCCTTGCTAGAAGTAGGGTCTGTGGATTCTCAAGAATTGGAGACAACAGAAAAAAAACCCCAGGCCTATCAGATTATGGTATTGTTACAGAAGTGGTTGGTTGTGAAGGAAATTAAATTCTAAGTCCTCTTCTCAATACCTCCTTTGCAATAAGATAATTTGCTCCACAGGGCTTCCTGCTTATCGTCCAAAAGCATTGCCTCCAAATTTTTAGTTCCAAATCTGATCAAGGAATACCTGAAAAGAAGTTTGGACAGGCTCTATCATGACTTAGTTTGCAAGAAAAGAGAATTATGAGACTTCAGGGAAAATAAAGTATTACTTTCTAACTACTGTATTACAAAATGCTGCAGGCTAAAAACCTACCTTTATAAATCACAACTTTTCTCAGTGAAAAGAGAAATGGCAATTAAAATCAGTTCCAAGCATTAGAAATTGTCTTTTCACCCTTAGAACAATGCTTCAGTTTTTAAGACACCAGCCTCCTGTGGGCTGAATACAAAGCTACATAATTAACAGAAAAGGCGAAAATGAGAGCAGTCTGACAGGGAAAAATACTCAACTGATGTCTCAAGTATTTTGAGCAACAGTGGCAGTTCCTCAGAATACAATTCTCAAAAGAGCATTCAAGATAAGAGTTCTTTCAAGCTCATATTTCCTTATGGTTGACATAGAGTACTGTATATAATATTGTGATACCTTGACAATGTCTATCAGCACAGGTCTAGAAGCATCATGTTTTCATCTTCTCTCTCCAAAACAGATTGGTTAATATCAACCAATACTCAGTATCAACATTTGAAAACATTCACAGCAAGAGAGAAAACAAACATCGTAACGATTATGTGATTTGTTATTTCCTTAAAGCATTCTAGAAAACCGTTATTTTTCTCACAACTTAAGTACACACAGTAAACATCGGCTCTCAGGAGGGAGTACATTTCTCCTGGCAGCAATACCACGTCAAGCAGCTCCTACCTTCCTCAACTCAGGGATGCCTGCACAACTGCATGCAGGGAAGAGCAGGGCGGCAGATCGGGAAAATGACGTAAAAAAATGATCCTTTTGAGCTAGGCTGTTTACACTAGCTACCTTGCAGTTCAGTTGCAGCCTTCAAACATCACTGAAAGAGAATGAGCTGCCAGTGACAACAGCTGCCTAAACTATACCGCCCACCAAAAGAAATGCATAGCTGGGCTTATTTCTGGAAAGGATAAATGGTTTTGAAAAAGTGTCCTGCAGAGATCTTAACCGTGTCGTTTGTTTTTTCTAATAAAATAAGCAGCAAGAAGAATAAGTGTTACGTACACTTACAGAAAACACAGACCGAGAAGTCTTGCCTTTAATATTTCAGATAGAAATTCAGAAGAATGCGAACTTCCTACCCTTTCTTAAATCTTACTCGATAGGCATCGTATCTTAATTTAGAGGCTGAGAATGACAAAAGCAGAGGTAATCTCTCACTGTAAACCTGAGGCTGTAGAAAACGCAGCAGGTTTCTTGCTGACTGCAAGAGCTCACGGCTAGCCTTAAAAAACGGCACCGGTGACGGAGGAGAGGCGCCTGACGCACATCCACCGCCCGGGACGGCACAGCCGCTCACGTTTGTTTGTTGTGAAGCGGAAGGAGCGGCCCGACACCCGTTCCGGCCCACCAGGCTGACGGCAAGGGCACGGCGCTCAGGTCCGCACGAGCCCAACCGCCCGGGGCATCCTCCCTCTCCGCGGGGACC